AAATTTAGCATTAATGGAAAAGAAAAAAAAAAGCTAGACTTAAGTTAAAATTTAAAAGAATATATCTGTAATCATAACCTGGTTGCAGGCATGAAAATATCTGCTTCTAGAACTCTGTGAGAACCAGACAGTCATATTAAAATTCTTACAATGGTACCTAAAAGTACATGTCAAATATAAATAGTCTCTTTTGCCCCCAATTCCTAATTAATCGTATTTAAATGTTTCAAATGCCATGCATTTGATTACTCATGTATCTTGAAAAATTCTAATCAGTTTGAAAATAAATTAGCTCCTCAGTTAACATGATTATAGCATCCAACAGTTATAGATACCATGGATCACAGATTCCAGTATGCTGTTAAGTCAACCAGACACCCAGTGTGTGCGGATACATTGTGGAAAACAAACAAACAAAACAGATATTGAAAAATAAAGGTATATTTAACTGTCCATGGAGTTATAACAACTAAATATTACAGAAATAACTACAAAGCATGCCTGCAATCCTGTCTACAATTTTACTTCAAATCCAACATCCTGAAATCTATATCAAAAGATTCCTGGTGTCCAGAGACCAGCATCTGTCATTCACACATTTGCACTGAACTACAGAAAAAGAAACCATGAGCAGAAGTTTTGAATTTTGTGTTTAGAACTACTATTTCAGGTTATTAAAAAAAGGAAAAGAAAGCCTACCAACACACTCTGTCCAGTTCTAATTTTCCAGACATCATTCAGATTGTCCTACAAGACCAACACTATGAAGAAAAACTTCAAAATGAAATAAAGATACCAGCACAGTCTTTTAAAAAATACACCAAATAAAGCCTCTAAGTACATACACACAGCGACAGGCAAATTCTCTTATTAAAATGGCAATGAACACAGCCAAACAGTAAGCTGCTTATAATTGAACACGACATATGTATTATTATGCCATAATGGATCACTGAGATAAAACCATCCATCTAGTAATTCTGTACTCTTGTCAATATTTCCAAGTAACAGCATTTAAACTAGGAGGCACCATGGCCAACAAACTCACACATACCATCTCTCAAGAAACACTTTTCCTCATTATTCTATTCAAAGGCTAACCATTTGTTGGAGTATTCCAAGAAATGCAACTCCACAACTTATCACATACTACTGTCCTTTTTATATCGTAGCAAACTGCTGACTGACAATACAGATTTTGACAATACCAAATATCACAGAGTGAACACAGTCCCAGGATTTACCCGCAAACACTAATACAGTGTAAGATCTGTACAGTATGAGGGGCTTGTGCTATCTGCAAGCTGGTAATACTGTGTTTTTAAATGGTTCTGAAGAAAAACGTTCAAACAAAAATGTGTTAGAAACTCTGTTTTCCTTTCAATAACAATATTAGTTCGTAAAACCACCTGCGGATGATCTGATTCAAAAAAATACTAAAGGAAGAAAAAAAAAATGTTAAGCTGTTTATTATACCTCAAAGACTTCACCATGCTTTCAAAGGCAAGACAATAAAAACCGGGCACATTCTATCAGGCTATGCAAATTTGCTTGCAGTAGAGTAAAAATACAGTATAAAGGCAAGCTTGATGAATTGAGCAAGCTCAGGACATAATATCTGTATATCTCAGCCAACTAACATATTTCCCTTTGACTGTAGAAAGCTACTTCATGTTCAGGCTGAATAGCACCTGCAAGAATTTCATCTGGTCAAGTCACTTATGGCTGAAAAAAAAGTAAGAAACTCCTTCATATTTAAGTCACACTACTTCTCCTTTACGCCTCTTAACTTCCTAATTCTCCTTTCTGCCTCTTTTTTTCCCCAGTCCTTACCCACATAGTTTATCCATAACTCTAAGTATAATATAAAATTAGCATTACACTCCCCTCTACCTTCAGTCCAAGTTTTAGGGGTAATGGTAGATATATGTTCAGGAACTCCTGAAGCAGACCCTGGCCCAGTTACAGGACCACTTATTGCAAGTAACTCAATACCTTCAATTTGACAGAGGAAAGAAACTTATTAAGATACAAAATATTTCTAAGTACACAAAAATCACTGATTTCCAGCTTGCTACTTCTTTTAGGCAAACTTCTGCTTTTAGGCAAACTTAGGCACAGGTACTTCTGTGCATTAAATATGGATTTAGGAGGGTTCTACTGTCAAAAATAAATATAATGAAGCATATTAAAATAATGTCTTTCCCCCCCCCAAAAAACCCTCCACTTTGTAGCAATGCCATGTGCACTGAAATGGAGTGATCACTCTCCATTATTAAAGGCAATGTTACCAAGAATCACAAAATCACAGTCTGATTCAGTAAGATCATCTCCTGCACAAGCACGGACAACTAGAGCACCTTGCACAGCATCTGCCCAGGTGAATCTCTCCAAGAGAAGCAGACTCCACAACAGGATCATCTTAATGCCCAATTTCTAATACTAACTCAGAATGGGAAGTGCTCAGACAGCACTGCACATGCAGTGTTTAACTTAACACAGTTTTAAGATCATAATGTGCCTGCCTACTGTACCATAATGTCTACTATCATCAGGAAAAACCAAGAAAACTTTTACTAATAAGAATACTTTTCTTTACGTTATGTACTTGTCAGCCCACTGTACCAAGTTTGCTTGACTTTGCACAACTCACAGAATCAGTCAACTTTCTCTAGACTTCATACTTAGTTTCTGCACAGCAAGAGAGGACTAAAATTCTCTCCAAGAAAACCATTAAAATTGTAACTGGAAAAGTATGACAAACATTCCAAAAGAGTCAGGCATAATCAGGGTGGACACTGTGTATCACAGTAAAATCACTTTTATTTTTGACAATATTCTATTAGTAATATACTTGGTTTTATTCATTTTTTGCAAGCTTTAAACCAAAGACCACTGTTTACACATATGCCAAAATATAGTTTTAAATTGTATTCTTTCACACCACATATTTCTATGAATTCTATCTGTGAAAAATTAAAGAATTACCTGGGCAATGACACAGTGCCAGACTTACTTACCAGACTGTCTGTTGAAGGCAATGGGAGCCTGCTGCTGTTGAATGCCAGGCAAAGTCCTCTTTCCTTGAACAGCAAGCTGAAGGTTTTCGGGTAAAGGCTGACCTCTAGCTAACATTTTGTAGGCGAGAATTTGAGCTCGGAGCTGATGCAGCTGCACAGGGCTGAATGGTGAAGGACCTCTGTTAGGCTGGCTCATAACTGGTGGGTCTCCTTGCATTATGGGTCCTGGCTGACTGGGAGTCATCTGTGGTGGAGTTGGACCACCCCCAGACATCGGACTGGACACATGCTCTGGGGCTCCTAGGGGAGATGGGTGTGGAGACATATAACCTACAACAGATGAGAGGATCACAAGCTTAGCTTTGTGGTTAGTGATATCCAAATTCCATTAAGTTTCTACAACACAACCTGCAACATAAAAACATCTCTCAAGTTCGGATAGCTGTAGTATTTTCTGCAAGAACAGAAATGTAATTTAAACTTTCTGGAATATAAAGATAGCTCCATGAGCTATTATTTGTAAAGAACTATGATCATATCGTCCAACAATTTCTAAAAATAACTACTGCCATCAGATTTAGAAAACAAGTTAAAACATGAAAGACAGTACTCAGAAACACCCAGATACAATATTGGTTCACTAATGTATCAGACAAATATTTTTAACAAAACACATGCAATGAAATCTACCTATTTTAGAGTTCAATACTATGCATTATTTTGATGCACACACATCAAGGAACATCCACTTATTTCTGGGGCCCTCTTTGCCAGTAATCTCCCGCACACAAACAGCAGCATCCAACTTTTATTTTTGCACAGTTGCTGTAATTTATGCAGATTAAAACTGGCATTTAAAGAATCTTAAATTTGTGATGTTATATGAAAGTTTTCCGTAAGTGGAAATCTGTTCAGAAGGCTTATCAATGCGACACGAAATCACAAACTAGTCCTAATAAAGTCTCCACACTTTTTTTCCTTATTTATTAGAAAAGATGCTCTAACAGGTGAGAATGCACACAAAGCATCTCAATAAGAACACGCAGTAATGAAGAAAAATAGTAACCATCACATATCAAAGAAATAAAAAGAGGCAAAAAAAAAAAAAAAGGAAAGAAAAGAAAAAGCTTAATAGTGTTTAAGATACAGATAAGGAGAGTCCAGACTTCTTTCTGAACTTTGCTATTATGAAATACTTCAGATTCATTTCTTGTGGAATACAGATATTCCCTCAATTCTGCCTATTTTTAAAGACCAAACTGATTAATTGCTCAGGAAAAAAAACTACTTCCCTCCTCTAGATTTTCAATATAACATCTTGATTTTAATTCTGCATAGTCTATTCAATCTGTGAAATGGAAGACGGCAAAAACATTGAATGCTGAGATGCTGAGTCCCCAAAGACCAAGCCATTTCAAGTGGCTCTGCAATTTCCTCTCATTCCACTTAATAACAAAGCTAAATATAATTTCATTTTCAGGATAACTTTTCTTAGCAGTTTAGAAAACAGGAGTAAATTCCATGTATCTGACATCAATATGGGTATTTTCAGCATAGTTTTTTTTACAGAAGATGAACACAGTTTCTAATGAAGTCCAAATTCAGTTAAAAATAGTAAGATTATTATTTAAACAGCTAAATATGAACTCAGAGCCAACAGATTCTCCTTTCTAATTAAACTGTTAATACGAAAGGAAAGGTACTGAAGCTTGAAAAGATCACTGTACATGAGTTCAAGAAAAAACAACTGGTCACTTGAAATAGTCAGAAATGTTACGCAATATTCAGTTTGGGTACTAAAGAGGGAAGGAAGAAGTGCTGTGGAGACAGACACCAATTCATGAGTTTTTCCCCCCACAAATCAATGTCAGATGTTTGTAAAACCATACTGTAAGCTTATGGCTGCATGAAAAATGTGACAATCTGTCCCAACTAGCTTGAGAGAAATCTTCTGCATGACTAGCATACCACCGCATATAAAGGAAAAAAAAAACTAAGTAATAAAGCCACATGGCTTATTTTAGTAATCATCTTCAGTTAAAAAAATCATCTCAGAAGAGCTGCTGCTACTGAGACAGCACACACACATTTACCAGCAAAATGACAAAGTAGCTGCAGATTTAATTTCTACTGCACATCTTTGATTTGCTGATCGAAGTAAACCCACCACCACAAAAAGTGTCAGCTGTTTCTTATTTGAGTGCAAGAATCATTACCCTCAGAATGCTGCATCAGTTTTCTTTGAAAGAATTCTTTTCTAGCTAGTAAGTTTGTTCATCTTCATTTCAAGATTGTTCATCATAACTGTGTGCATTTTATATATATTAAATCCACATCAGTATGTGCCATTGCTCTAATCATTTCTAATTACCCCCAGATTCATAAGCACGTGCTTTACACTCACAATTCTACTACATTTTCTGGTAAGGTTTTTTTCACTCAGAAATGCCATTTCTATATAGAAATACTCTTTGGCAAGACGTTTTTGTAAGGATGAAAGAAAGTACCAAAAAAAAAATTACATTAGCAGAATATACAACATTTAAAATGAAACATGACTTTTCTGCCCAATTTTAACTGTAAACTACAGATAGAACGACTACTGCCAGTGTATGTTTCACAAACGTTCTATTTAGAGACAGCATTTCCTGAAGACTTCTCATTTTCAAGTATTCAAAAATCCAAAACATTCTGCCCTCCTCTAGCTTACCACTTGTCAGCATCTTGATCTTTACAGATTCACATTTTTTTGTGGTAAGAGATTACTACAATTGCTACAATGTATCTAAGTTGCTCAAAGAGACCAAAGACCTTTACTTTCTACAACAATCTCCTTTCTTTGGTCTACAGAATAATTTTGAAACACATTTAGTATTGGCTTAAATGTCAAGTGGTAGAAAAGATATCCCAAATGTTCAGGTAATACCTGTCCCAAAGGTTAATTATCTTCATCAAGTCAGATACAGATATCTGAATATGTCTGAATTTGCCTGATTTAAATTTGTGAGCATAAAGACCCACTTCACTTTTTTCTCTAGATATAGAAGCCATCTATTAGAAGTCTTTTTATCTACTGGAAATGGGCAGATTGATTACAAAGATTTTTTAATTCTCTCCGTGACAGAATAAATACTTGAGTTTAACATTCTCGAGTAAAGAGCACAAATCTTCCAAGTTGTAAATCACTCATATATGAGCCTTCTAAATACAGCACAATTTTCCAACATCTTTCTAAATTGCAGATATAAGAATAGAATACAATACTACTACAAAGCTCTCAACTAATCCACTAACAAAGGTAGTACAGCTTTTCATTTAATGAGACCCTGGTTATGAATGCAGGCAGTACATTCCATCTTGCAGTGAAAGTATATGACAACTCACACCAAAGTGCAACATGACAAAGACCATTCCAGATTACTACTTTCAATCTCATACTGCCTACACAAATTACATTGTTTCTAGTCATACAATGTTATTCCCTGTGTTAAAAACACATGCTGTAAAATGAACCCACTCTACTGAGCATCCTGACCAGCATTTGTAGTTTAGCTGTTTGTTACATGAACACTGAACCAAGAACATAGTTCTACCTAGAAATATCCCCAACCACATGTTTATCTTTTATTTACAGTTTATAAACTGCTACTTAAAAGGAACCTGTTTAGTGTGGATTATGTTGTTTTTACTCAGTATCACTTTTTTCCTACATTGAAGTGTCATATAGATGCAAGTCACATGCCTTTTGCAAGTCTAGTGGGGAGAAAAAGCTGCTTCTATCATTACTACTACCAGCATAGGAAGATAATGTAGCATAGAGAGGTCCCATGTGTAACCCGCTATCATAATCACGGTACAAATAAACAAATTAGCACTCTAAGAAATTAGATTAGTTTACAATCTCCTTAGAAAGAGCTGATCACAAGTGTCATCGAACAGTCCCGTTTCATAAGACTGTTTTTCTTCATAAAACCATTCCAAATGGCCCACAGTCAAATGTAATTAAGGAACTATAGTGTATCGACCATCTTTGATTTTGCCTACAATTAGGTTTATGCTGACAGTCATTTCCTGACCTGTGGACACTATTTACACTTTCAAAATAACGGTGCAAAATTAGGAACATCCATTGTCTGGGGTTCTGAAATTCCTTAGCTACTTTCCGATGAACTTTTGAATGCAATAGGCTTAACTGGTGACCAGAATCCTTAAGGTTGGAAGGGACCTCTACAGATCACCTAGTTCAACCCCCCTGCACATGCAGGGTCACCTACAGCACGTGGCACAGAGTGGCATCCAAGTGGGTTTGGAAGATCTCCAGAGAAGGAGACTCCACAACCTCTCTGCACAACCTGCTCCGGCGAATATATTTACCTCCTTCAATTCAAGGCCTATAAACAAATAAACAATGAACAAAAAGGCTTTCGGAGACCTAGAACTAGTAAGATGTAATTTCTAATTGACTTGTATAATTTAAAATTTTATTTTACACCGCAATGCAAACAACCATCAGGCATCAGACAGTCTACAATGAGGGGAATTTTATACTAAGTTTTGATTTGTAATTATGCACCAAATGCTGGTGAGATTTTTTCAAGAACAGGAGATTCGCAATGCATTTCACGAATACTCAGAGAACTCATATTGGCTTCTTTCTCTCAGTATAAGCATATAACCTTTAACTAGGTTGCCGATCTGCTCAAAATTGGAAGGAGTATGATTGTGTTAGAGATCCCTAATTCCCTGGTAAATCTGACTGACAGTATTCAATAGTTTAAAAAGCTTTTCAAAAAACAAGCCCTTCATCTTGGAAAAATACACTTATGGGAGAAGTTACAAAAGTTATTAAGTAAACAGCCGAGATTTTCCCCAAAACACATAGAAGACGCCTCTTCTGCCCACCCTCTTCTGTGAGAAGACAGGCAGCAAACAATAAATAAGAAGCCTAAAGACAAATCAAACCAAAGTAGTTCCACAATAGTATAAAGTAGGATATACAAATTATATATTTTTTTACCACTTCTTTTTAAAAAGTTTGCTTACATTATAGCTCCAAGATTCTCTGTTTACCTTATAACAGTTCCTGACACACAGAAAAAGGGAGCAAAGATCTGCAGTCTTCAGCCCACTACAGCTGTTCCTAATACTACTTATTGCAAAGTAAGACAACTACAAAGCTGGGTCTCAGCAAACACAAGAAAGAATAGAACTATCTATATTTGAAGTATTTGCAACTGGTGTTCTTCTATTAACAGCACATTATGTGTAAACCAGACCAGTTTTCATCAGTTTTGTTCTAAGAAACAAGTAAACTAGTGACTCTGAATGAAGTCAGATAAAATCTTGCTTTCAGATGAGCACTTATGCTTGCCACCGGAATTGGTGGGAAAAATTTTACCTGAAGAATTTGCCCCTTCAAAAGCCAATTCTGTTTCACTTAATGCTGAAAATCACACAAGTCAGGTAATGGGATTCTCCTAAATCTGTGTCCGCTTTCCACTTCCTATTGTTTCTCTTTTTCAGTCTTATAAACAGGTAAATACATCAAACAGAGGCCATATATCAATAAACTTGTACAGAGAGTTACAGTTACAGAGAGGCAAACTACTGTTTAAACTTTTGTTGGTATCTTCAGGTATTAGCATAAATTGAGTAACTATATAATATACAAAACATTACTTGCTCAGCTAATTAATACTGGCAGGTTACCAGTCCATTTAAACCTCCAAAATACTGAGCTGTTTAGAGAATGCATATCCTTTTACATTGCAAGCTAAGTGGCATAAAGAAGACATGCAGAATTGTGATGAGATGAGTTTCTATTTTCTGGAAAAAAAAAATAGCAAGAACTTTTTTCAGCTCTTGACCAAACATGATTAACATTTAAGGTGGCCAGTACAGGTCTGACTGTATCGTCTTCTACAATTACTTCATCATACACTTAAAAATACACTTAAAACCAGCTTATCCTGTAGTACTTTTATACTTATGAAAGCCACATAGTATCAGAAAAAAATATTTTATAGATGTGAACTGCAACCTATACCTGCTTATTTGCCAAGACACAGACTTAGATCCAAAAGGATTAGCTTTTCTCCAGTTTATGATGGATGAGCATACTAAATAGCAACGGGATTAAGTTATTCCCCTTACCCTCTGATATTGCAGCTTATCCTTTCCAAATAAGGGAGAAAAAAAAAAAATGGAAAGTGGTTCCATGTTACTTTTGACACTTCATGCCACAAAAAAGGACCCAAAATTATATTGCATGCACAGTTATGTATCAACCTTGGCTATGCTGGTCCATTGGACTCTGAGGTGGCCCCATTCCAGGGTGAGGAGGTCGCATACTCTTCATGGAGCTGCAATGAACGTCTTCAACCATTCCTTTCTCATGCAAGCCATCGATGCTCTGTGGAAACAAAATACGTCTTTGTAGAGAGATGGCACATAAAAATCTAAGAAACTAATATAATTTACACATGTACATACAGAAATGTCTAAGCATCTCTTAATACTCTTTCAAAGCAAATACAATTTGAAAAATTTGAAACTTTACCCCTAAAATCAGACATTTCGGAAAGCACAGGACTGCAAGCCTCGCCTCTCTCTTCTCCACCCCCCCCCCCCCCCCCCCCCCCCGATGTGCTTTGGTCAATGCCAGGGAGCCAAAAAACAAACGCATGAACTGTACTGGCCTCACATTACAAAATAGCGTAACCCACACCAACTCATGAAACTACAGCCTGTGGCTTTGCCCAAGCTATTTTTAACCCAAACTTTGCCCTTTCAGTCACTGTTCTACCAGAACATTCCAAACACTGTTTCTCTTCAAACATGATGGTTCCATTGCAGGAGGCACTCTTGGAGGGGGGAGAAGGGTGGGAGAAAAGAGGGAGGGGGAAGGCATTGGAAGAAAGTTCTGTTGGAATACTCTCCCCCTACAGTCTCTCTCACCTAATTTAATTTACTGCTCAAAAATGACAATCTCAGTGATATTTGAAAAGCAAAACAGGGCCAAGTGCCTCCCTAAGAAAGTGAAGAGAATATGGCGTCAGAAAAATATGCTAAAAGCAAGGGCTCTGGAAAAGGCTCCCAACAGAAACTGCAGAGATCTACATAGGAAAATAGGTGAAAAGTATCATGAGAAGGAAAAGAGGTCTTAAAATAAAAAATGTTTACCTGAAAGCAAAAGTTCGGTCAGGTCCCTAACCACAAGAGATTCTGCTCTTTAAGGGTTGACTTAGAAAGTCTGCAATGCTCCATACAAGGAAGAAAAAAATCTGGCAGGACTCACTTTGCTTCTCACTGCAATTCTGTCCCTTTTAGTAATAAATAGATGCATGTATACCAAATATTAACTGATATTTCAGATCCTCCTGTGAACTTAGACTATCTTAATGCATATCTATTTATTGAGAACTATTTTGAAATAAAAATAGTGATCAGGAAAACTTATTACAATAGAAAACCAAAATTAGACAATTTTTGTTTGGTTTAGACAGTACAGAAGATATAAGAATTTATAAAAAAAAGATACTGCTGCATTTCTTCTGTTTGAGTAATCTGCTATATACAATTCAGTTTAAAAACTAAACATTGCTCATTCTTTCTATGCACAAATAAGGAAAAAATAATTCTAAATCTTAATTTATATATCCTTCATACAATTTTCCCTTTTTAATTTGTTTCACTGGCTTATAGGTGCTGCTTAAAGGTTTCATTTATACAACTTTTTTCTCACCAAAAACTCTAGGCTACAAAGAGAAAAGTTACTTGAAAGTAACACAAATATCTTGCTTTTAACCAAGTCATTTAATTATCATGACAATTAAAAGAAACATTTACCAAAAAAAAACTTCTATCAATAAAAAAAACAAATCTGCTATCTGAAAAGCTATTTTTTGATTACAAAAACTTAGTGTATGGAGTAGAGATAGATTATTAATTTACACAAGGAAAGTAGGTTGACTGTGTAGACCAAGTCAAACCCAATGCTCTTTTGTGACACAAGATCATCACTCCCTCTCCCTTCACCCTTGTTTACAGAGACAGTTGGTACCATACACACAGATGACACGACACTGCCAGATGCCAAAAGCTAAGGAGCAGATTGCCTGTAAAGCAGGAGCTGTACCTGTCTTATCATGGTACATCTCCAGGACCAAATCTTTAGATCCTTCAAGAGGAGGAAGAGATTGTGCAAAAGACTTGGCCCCTTTTCCAGAGCAGGACTCTCCGAGGTCACTGCACTGACGGATGGCAGCAGCGAAGCCTCTACGCAGGTAGCAGCTCTGAACAGACTAACATATGACATAGTGCACAGAGCCAGGGCACCAGAGTACAGCACACTGAGCAGGGAAGGGGACTGACATTAACCAAGAGCAGCTGTGTGAAAGAAGGATAGCAGTGAAGAGAAATGCAAATATATGGGCCTTTCCAAAAGAGAGGATTAAAGAAAAAAAAAAAAAAGAAGTAAAGAATGAAGGTCTGTGGTGATACAGAGAAACTTCAAATGGAGAAATGTTTCTGTGAAAAGAGTTAGGCTTAAGAAAAGGTTTTTCGTTTTAAGAGAAAGATTTCAAATTATCAAAACCTCTAGCCAATTGAAATGTTTCGAGTCTAATGGAAGGGAGCCTGAATACAGCAAAAAGGGGTTGCTTTCATTTGGTTGAAGAAAATATGCTGTAAGAAACCAAAAGTGAAAGAAACAGATCAGAAAAGGTAGATTAATCTTTTTTATTGGCAAAGCTATGAAAGATAAAAATGGCATAATTTTTTCCATATCAGGATAAAACTGTTTTCAGTCATTATAGTACTGCTAATTTATGCAGAGGGCTTTGTGCCTTCAAGTGTATTTTAAATCTGAAAGCATCTCTGCTGTCCATAGAAAACTCTGTGAAACAGAGGGGAAAAACGTACCAGTAGAGGACTTCAAAAATTCAAAAATTATTATTTTTCATAACCTCTCTGAAACACTGTATAGTTATAGAGCTGCATGATAACATTAAATTTACATAACTCATTAAAAAAATGCAACTGTACAGAAGGAGCTTATATCTATGCAAATTCTATAAATCATTAAATCCTGCATAAACTATTAAATTAATGATATCTTTGTCAAAGACATAAGAAACAAAACCTTTAACACCAAAACATCACCAAAAGGTTCTTTTCTTCTGATATTATCATAGAACAGAACTGGAATACAAAGCTGAGATGTACTCAACCTTAAGCATTCATTATGATTTTTCCTTCTTCTATTTAAGTAAGAATAGGTGCAGGATAGGCTTAAAACGCAATGGTTCTTCCCAAAAAAGAAGAGATTTTCAGTAGATTTTAACTACACCAGTTTGGCTCTTCCTAAGTTCTTTTCGCAAACTGCATTAAATCACTATTTGATCTGCTTCTAGGAAAACTATCAGATTAAGGTATCTGTTTCCTGTTTCCATCCTCTATTAAAAGAAATTAAGACTACTGACCCTGATATAAAAGACCAAGCCCTGAGTATATAACTAGATTTCGTCTAGATCATGCATTCTCTATACAAACAAAAAAAATCCTATGTAAGTTTTATATATACAAACAAAAAAGCAGAACACATAGCAGCCTATTGCCACATAACCACATAGTATAACTGAGAAACTAATGGACAGTGGGACTGACTGTAGTTGTCTTTACTAGGGTAGGGAATCAGTCAACAGTTCTGTCTATCACATATAAATCACTAGAACGTGGTGTGTTTTTGGTTTTGGGATTTTTTTTCCCCCTAGGGCACTGCTAACTTTCCAAGGCTGAAAGCAATACTTTTTAAACTCTCCTCTCTCTCAACAAAGTAAGCAAATGTAAAAGAGGTAAGGCAGGGAACATATTTGCTGGACTGAAAGGTATTTCTTTCAGGACTAGAACAGCATCTTAAGGTACTTAAACATCTAAAGTGTACAGATCTATTAACCAAGAAAGTGAAAAACATTTTCTGTCTGTATTAAAGGAACATTTGAGAGAACAAATATTACATTAAAAAGTAACAAAAAAAGCATTTTAGTACGAAAACTTTTTCTGTCACTCAGTTTTGACAAAATAACATCAAAATAGTTTTACTAGAGCCAATAATCATTTACACTACACGCCATCAGAGCTTCACGAAAGTCACTGTATTTCAGGTTACGATTAAACAGAAAACAAACTCACAACTCACAGTGCTCAAAGGTGCTTCCAACCCTCAAACCACGCAAATCAGATAGATGTATTGCTGTAATAACTAAAAGAGTTCATTATTTAAACTCATGTGCTCCAGCTGCGTAAGTAGACACAGACAACTAAACTAATGCCACCTATCTTTATGGTATGACTCCAAAAATGTCCTATAAGTTAATGCTTAGGAATAGTCAGTTTGGAGCAACCACATAACAGTGGTTCCCTCAACTGTCATTGCCGTTTCCAAGTATCTTTAGTTTAGAAGACTTTTAGGCTGTTCTGGTTTGTGGCCTCCCACCAGACTTCTCAGTATGTCTGCTTGAACCAAGGGAGCTGTCTTCCACCTTGATAGGTAAACTTAAGAGATTACTTCAGAAAGCAGCAAGAAAGATGGTTAATTTATTGTTTCTGTCATAACTGTAAATGCTCTATAAACCAATAGTAAATTTTCCCATGAACCAGTTTTCTGGTTGTCATTTGAATACAGGATTTTTGAATGTTGTTAATAGACAAGTTGTGAGAGTTACAATTTACTAATACAAACTTGTCTCAGTCTCACTTTTATATTTCTGCACTTCATTCTATACACATTATTTTCTGTAATCCAGGCAATATCCAAAATACCCAAAATATAATGAAAGCTTCTCTCCTGTTTAACTTGTGCATTTTAACAGAAGAGTCATCCCATTGCCTATGCTTGCACGGATACATACATATCCTACAAACAGTTGCGTAACTGAAGCACACTTTGCCCAAACTCCCACTTCTGTCACTCGTTAGAAAAAAAACGTACAGTCTTGCACTATGACTTGAAAGTCAATCTGTTCTACATAACACTTGTTAGAAAGCAAATAATTACCTAGTCAAACTGTAAACTGCAGTGGGCTGACCACTTTTTAAGTTACATGGAACAACACTGCAGACTATCTGCAAAATGGCACATTTTGACAGCAGTTCTTAAACCATTCCCTTAGCTGTTCTAATACACTTGGAACTTATGGTGCTGTACGGGGGGAGAAAAAGAAAAAAAATGGAATCTGATCCAAAATAAAATATTGTCTAAGAAAAGTATTTTTTTTTTTTTGCCTGTATCAGTTCAACAGACCTGCTTTTTGCTTTGCATGCTCTCATGCTCTCTCCCTCACACAGATACACAGGAACAAATGAAGCAGCAGTCCAGAGGAGAGCAAGGGCATTCAAACTAAAATTGCTAGTGAAAACAACACTTGAAATTACATCAGCATTAATCCCATTCTCACAATCACAGGACAGAACAGGTGGAGTAATTCTGCTCTAACTATACTGACTAGTCACCTTTGAATCAGATATCCAGACTCTTCAAAGCTATGATATGTTTTTCAGAATTTGTCAATGTCCCACTACACTGCAATGGGAGAACTACTATAACATCTCAAATATTCCTACACTTTCTAGAGAACTTTGCAGGCTGTTATTGCTTGTTCTTACTCTAATCCTGGCATAGCATGCTAAGGAACACATAAGGTAAGACACGCTACAGCAGTTCAAGATTTACTGTACACAGTACTCAGCTATTCTACTGTTCATAGTGCTGCCTTCCTTTTGTGTATCTTAGAATCCCTCAAAGCTGAAAGAACTGAGAGAGGTGAAGAATATATACTGTACCCTGTGGGAATCTCTGAAGTCTTAGGAATTCACCAGATTAGTGGCAACTTGGGCTGTAACTATCTGCATAAACAAACGTCAAATGCAAATGTCCAATACAGCTAAAGATAAATTAGATGCTTCAAGATTCAAATCAAAATTTTAAGTAATGAATGTGCTGACTTTTTAGATTACAAGAGCTGTACCATGGTTACGCATCACCTCAGCTGTCTTGCGCTATCACAAGTTTTAATGTTAGCAGTTTTGGATGAAGGTGATGATAGTATTGAATCCTTCACTGACAGGACACAAGTATCATTGTTTTATTAACAAACTAATGTGGACATGAAAGTGGCAGCTTAAAGAGAAAAATCCAAAAGGAGAAAAAAATGCTTTTAGAACTTAAAAAGTGTATTTTAAAATTCATTTTTATTATTATTTGAAGTTTTCAACATGTGTTTGTAACAATACCAAATGGCATCAACACTAGTAACAAAAAGGCTCTGAACTAATAGCTTGGTTCTACAAGTCATTATTGTATATTTTAGGGAAAATACCATAAACAGTAAAGCTTTGCTTCATGATCATATAAAAGCATGCATATTTATAGAATGTTCTCAAATAAATATTCCAGACAGCAAAATACTTCCTCAAAGCAAAAGACACTGACGATTATCTAAGTAACTTTAAGCATTTAATAATAATGCCTACAGCCAGATTATTCATATGTTCTTAATTACAGAATTTAAAAATCCTTGGCAAGATGGAGCCTATGCAAATTAATTTCAGAAATAAACTTTCCATCAACAGAGAAGATTAAATACATTCATAAACACAAGGATTTTAAGAGTTAAAATGATTTTTAGAAGATTAAATTTGATGAAAAAAAGAAGAAAAACGTGCAATATGGTACCAAGATGTTCCAGAACAGACCACAAGCAAGAAAAAAAAAAACTTAAAAGAACACTCATTTAATTATAAAAACAGTTGTTTGAATGGTCTTACAGTACTCCAAACAAATTTTCTGGGAAGAAGAATATCCTTCTGAAAAGTGCACAGTTGACAACTGGAGACTTTCAAAACTGCTAACTCTGCAGTTCAAACTAGTCTACTAAAAACAAGCAAGCTGTGTTTAGTCTGATATATACACTATCTCTAGTAATAAAGATAGGATTTTAGTAGACTGTAGCTTCACTTTTGCAAGAGCACTTTATATACGGAGTAGATCTTATGCAGATCTAAAGACTGTACAAGTATGCTTTGTATCAAGGGAGAAAACTTTAGGGGAGAAAAGTTCACTTTTAAAAAAAGCTATTATTACCTTATGCATTTGATGCATGCCTTCCTGTGGATAATCAGCAGGTCCCATTGTTGGCATTGGGTGCGGGACACTGGGTGGACCAGGACTTGGCCCCATCATGCTGTGCACTGAGCCAGGAGACGGCCCTGGTCCTGGGCTAGGTCCTAGGATCGGGCCAGGGGAAGGTCCTGGTCCAGGGGAAGGACCTGGATGAGGCATGGCGCCAGAGTCTGTAGGCGTGGACATCTATTTTCTGTGTCCTTCTCAGTTAGCAGAATAGCTCTAATAACAAAACAAAATGAAAAGAGAATTTCTATGTGACATTAGGTGCATTGAAAAAAATGTAATGAAGAAAATCTAATAAGCATAACACACACACTTGCAATCTGTCATTAGCAGAAAATGCTTAAGTGATCCTTAACACGACACATCAGTATGCTCATCCTTCAAAAAGCCCCCTAGATGGATCGAGGAACTTAACTTTCCAGTCCATTTCTGGATGCTTACATGTCATCCACAGAACCAAATAGCTTCTAGGCTAAGAGAAGCATCTATCAGAGGGTAAGAATTCAGCTCAACTGCAGTCAGCAACTTGTATCACAAGGTGTCGAGTCAAGTTCTCCTAAAGGCACACAGACTGTTGGGCATCTTCACTTACATACACTTGTTCTGAAATCTCTACCCAAATGATCACAGTGAAATTCTTATTTATAAAATGCATAGCAATACAGCAGAACAAGTATTAAAAATGATTTTAGGAATGTTTTATGACTCAAAGAATTTAATGTAGCACCTCCCTGGTTATCTATGCATGCAATCACAAAAACAAATTAAAAAAAAAAACAGAAAAGACAAAAACATTGCTTTGGACTAAACCCAGTTAGAATTCACTTTAGTGGTGCAGCTGATGTCACAAGCCATAAGAACACAGTTTAACTGTCTTACAAAATAGTAAAAGCTTAGATAATGAATTATAAGCATTTATTTCCTTGGGGGGGGGGGGGGGGGGGGAAACAGTTCCTACTATTTTTAGTTTCTGTGCTGTTAAAAGAATAAATTGAGGCAAGCTGCAGACCTGTAACACTAATCTCCTCCAACTTTCTGAAAACTTTTATCAGTGCCTATCACTGATGTCTGACCACAGTGCTAGAGCTGCCATATCATTTTTATAAGAATGATAGTCTGCTGCTGTCAACAAAACCAGTCATGTTTCTCAGGACTCCCCTAATTTCAGCAGCAGCATTTTGATGTGTTTGATCACACAGTGATCTCATTATCTGAGAAGCCAAGGCAGCAGGTAAGTAACCTTATTAAAAACAAACAAACACAGAATCCCTGCTTATTCAGATGTCTAAGCTGACTTTCTGCAAGTACACATAAGTTTCAGTGACAGCACAAGAAAACAAGCAAGTTCACCACAACCAGAAGCAGGTGAATATTAGGTGGAGTCAGCCTATTTTTTTTTTAATTTACTTTGAGTGTAGTTTTATAATAAGGCTACCTGCCCACGGTACTTCTCTCATAATAGTAAGTTCAGCAGAATGAAAATCAAGATGGAAATGTTCCACTTTTGTCTTCTGGATTTACCACTATCCATAGTTAGCAGCAGTTATTTTCTGATAAGAGTGAGTAGTCTAAATTCTGCTATGAGACAGCTTGTATGAACCCGACCGCTGCCAACATCCTGGCTAGTAGGAGTCAAACTAAGAGCGCAATTCTTAAGAAAAAAAAAAGCACAGATCTCAAGAGTCCCAATCTAATTAAAAAAAAAAAAAAAAAAAAAAAAGGAACTAAAGGAACTATTGGTGCTGCCACTGGCAATCAGGCAGTTTAAATTCTGCAGAGCTGATGGCCTGTTTTCTTCCACAAGCAAAAGGGTATGTAACTATCAGAACAAATATAGCAGACAAAATGCTACTACATCAAGACAATTTTTGCTTATTTCACTCACTTACCCCATGTTCTGTCAAAATAAAAAACAGTTTAATATCGTTCACTTATAAATTCCCTCTTGTTATGTTTATTAGCTGTTACTCTTCTCTCATTCAAGACAACAAACTAGAACTATGGCTCTTTAAATCACTCAAAATAAAATGCTCTCACCCTGAAAATAAACTACCTAGGGATCCTCTATCCTCACAAGGTAAGACAGGGTAGCACCTTTGAGTTTTCTCTGTTCTGTACACAAGACAACAAGTCACTAATTAGCCCTCACAATCCCACACCACCATTACAAAAGGAATCATGTTTCAAAATTATCATGACTCCATACCTCATTCCATGCCTTCTTCTACCAGATTAGCAATATCACTTTATGTAGGACAACAGATATTTCCACCAACTAAAGACTTTTTGTAGGAGATGATTACTATATCACAAAATACAGAGAGTATGCTAAAAGTGCACCCTCATAGTGGAATCTCTCTATAGTATATTCAGTCAGTTTAACAACATAGGACCTAGCATCAACAATACCACTATAAAGAAAAAAAATTACAGAACTACTACTAGTACGTAATCAATTTTTAAGTACAATAACTGCTATCTTTGCACATTACACAACATATTTTACGAATAAGAGTATAAGAGTATTTTACAAAACAATCTTGCCTAAATGAAATGGTAGCAAAATCCCACCTTCAACGTACATCCTTATTTCAACCTTAACTTGCGATTCTCAAAAAAAATATTGCTCTCAATTTCTACTTCACTAGTTGCAATTTTTATATACATTAAAAAGTTACAATAAGCAAGTTTTAAAGATTTAAAACTCCTGTTACTGGGGTAAGGGCTCAAGCTATAAAATCCAAAACTAGAATGGAATTCAACTCTTCTATTAGGAGAAGGCATATTCTCCCAATTTTATGAGAACACTGTGAAGCTTCTTAAATAGATTTACATTCAGAGATTTTGTCAAAGAATAGCTTTTTTATTTAAAAAAAAATCTGTATTTGAGGGAATATAAAACATTGGAAAATATTATCTGAACATCTGCCTACAATTCCTGCCCAAGAACATTTAGAGATTTAAAGAGAGGGGTCAGCAAATCAGGTAAATCAAGCCTGATGAGGCTTCCTTTTTAGGGCATAAGGAAAAGTCACTACCATAAACCAGACACATAACTTTTCCAACTCAGGATCTATTTACAAAGCAGAACTGCTAAAAAAAAAAACCTTGTGACTTAGATTATAAAGAAAGCCTGCAGAAATTAGGCAACTGGTTCCTATCAAAGTTTAGTAAGCACTAGATAGCCAATTCCTTCAGGTTTTTACAAAAAATAAAAAATAAAAATAAAAAAATCTACCAAGAGACACCAGATGCAATGGTGGCCAGGCTCTAAATATTCTCATAGCTTAGGTAAATTTTGGTGCCAAGATTCAAATAAGTAATACATAACCACTTCTCTGCAGAAGTCAGATGCTTGGAGTACTGATTTAATCAGCCTTGTCTCAAATCATTAAAAAAAAAGTGTAAACACATATAACATATTTTTAAGGACAGTAACCAAAAAATAAAACACAAATTTCTGTCCCAATGTCCCAAATGATGCTGCTGCTGACCCAGATTCTCAAAAGTATTAAGTATATGTTGTCTAATTGCTTCTCAAGTGTCCAATCCTGCAATTTCCTCACTTCCAAACTCACTGCAGAATCTACATGATTTCCAAAAAGACATAACCCTTAGCTGCAAGCACCAAAACTGCTGAGATTTACATACAACAGCATCCCCTATTTCTGTTACAAATAGCCTCAAAGTTTAGGCAAGATTCTCTTCTCTTAGATTTGAGAACAAAGATACCTACTATATATCATTCCTTTTATGTTCCCTTTTATTTGGCCCCTCATATGAAGGCAACTCTTTCTGCCAGGTAAAATATGTTTTCAAAACAAACTCTTTTTATTCCCTGAGCCACGCTAGGGAACAAGCAGGTATTGAACCTGTTGTGGTGAATCATGCAGTTCTTCCCGTAGCTCTAAAAATCTCTCTGACTTCTTCTGGACAGACTAAGAGGAAGGACGGACGGAAGGACGGACGGAAAAAATGTATATATATATATCTCACATCACTGTCAAGGTCATTTAGCTGGCTAAATAAAAGGAGCTTCAGCATGAAAAACTAGAGAAAGACAGAGTATCTGCCCAAAACCCTAAACTGCTTCTGGACAAAAGGATTCTGGGTTATAAATCCTGCATTTCGAGTTTGCTATCATAACCAGGACGCCAGGGTAGCCCTTATGGCCAAGTGCTCTGCACTTTCCTTTTACAAACACTCAGTAAGTTTTGTAGATAATTTGGTGCCCACAGCATCCAAGAATGCTGCACATACCTCAGTATAACGCTGCTATAAACTCCAAGGTAAACAAAGGCACAGATTTCCTTCATGTGGGAGAAAGTATGCAACATCAGGAGATCCAAAACATATGAGGCAAGAATCTACCATCGCTGCTTAGGAGTTCAAGATCAGCTGAACACTCCAAAAGATCCAGGCATCATGGAGTGGTTTGGCACAGGGTAGTTACACTAGGAACAGATGGTGCAGTATTTATAATTCCTGTACTTGTATCCCTTCACCCAGCAATATAACTTCTCCCTTTTCCAGACTGAATCAATCCGCACTGAGTCTCAGCCAGTGTGTTTTCGGCCAAATCCTCTGCTTTCGACAGACAGTGGAAAGCAAGGAAACTGCACCACTTATATTTGATAAAAAGCAATGCTTACTCAAGCACCAGCCAGATGCCGTTAGCACAGTACAGAGCAGACCACCTCCCCACAACTGTACCTCTGCCGGAAGACAGTTAACTACAGTCCACTTCCCCCCTCCTGTTTCCAACTAGAGTCATGAGTCACAGATGGTTTTGAAAAGAAACATTGTGAAAGCATTCTCCTGGGAAGGGGGTAACTCCGGGTTACCTTTCTTAGGCTACCACAGGAAACACAGAAAGACACTGCCAATGATCTGTAGGGGTTTGCATGATATGCTGAAGATAAATAAATGAAGATGTGGAAAGTTTAAGAACTGATCAATGCAACGGTTCATTATAATTAGAACAACAATGAATATTTACAAGCAAGTCCCTGCTCTGTATTTTACAGTCCCATGGGACACTGTGCATTAATATTTATTAGGACTTCATTACTGACATTTCATCAAACATGATTTAATCAATCCAAAAGTGTATATGAAACAACATAAAAATCAGTAAAGGAGAAGAGTCATATTCTCAGCTGACATAAACCAGTGCTATTCAACTCTCATAAAAGAACACAAAGAGCTGTGGATCTGCCTTTACATATCCAGGCATGTAACTTGACTGTAACTTCAAGATTTCTTCTGGAAGATGGCCTGCAGTCAAACCACAGCAACAACAAACTCTGGGCACAGCCTCATGGGTTGCTTGAGCTCTCTGCCAAATTCTGCTGCCCTCCCCCATAGCACAGCACAGCACGGCCTGTGCTGCCACCAGGCATCTCCGTGTGGAGTCATGTAATTCAATCGTATGCCAAGACAGCTTTTACTTTTGTATAGCTCTAGTACCTAGGAGTAAAGTCAGTGCCAAGGAAAAGTTGGGGGCTGGATCCATTGTGGTCAGTCTAATGGAAGTCCTCGCAAGTCAGAGTCCCGCAGAAGTTTGGCACAACCCAACCTTCCCCTGAGGAAGCCAAAGTGCAGGCACACAACCCCCTCCTCAGGAGGCAGCAGCCTCCAGGACAGGCCAGCACAGAGCGCTGCAGCTGGCAGTTCAGCGAGCTGCTTTTCAACTCCGTAGCCATGTTCATCACACATGAGCTACCAGGGCCTAAAATCAAGTCCACGTTTGGGCTGGCACTGCCCAGTGCCACGCGTGCAGAACCTACTGTACATTTAGGGGCACAAAACTGACTCATGAGAGTGCTGACTGGTTACGGATTAAGTTTCCATGCTGTGACCTTTTCTGCTGGCATTAATCACAGTTATTGAACATCATCTTCACATTAGATCCTGAAAAACAAAGGCCGTAATTAGGGGTGGGTAGAAAGAAAGAAATTCATTGCATTACTGACAAGGTTTGTCTTTACTTAAGAGGACAGAGAACAGAAAACTTTGTTCTTAAAGCAAGTTACTTAACATAAAATACCACTTAAGATGATACCACAACATAATTCTCAGGATAACAAACTTGCTTCTAACATTTTTCCTCCTAAAGGAAAAAAAAGCATTTCTTAATCTGTGCTCAAAGCCTACAGAATAAAAATGTTTACACACAAAAAGTGATGATTTAAAATACGTCAGAAAAAAAAAATGAGTCTCAGTTCTTCTTATCCTGCTGTACTTGCAAGCTACTGAAGCTGCACTCAAAGGAGGGCTTACTTATTTCTCTTATTCATACTCAATAAGTTTATCTTATAAAATATAGCATAACTTTCTCCAGCAGTGCCATTTTCAGGACACGTGATATTTATGTCATAACGTTGTGCTTACTACTCCACTTGAGGATTAGACAAACACAAAAACTAAACTGATGGTTTGTACAAGACATGGAGGTCAAGGAAGTATTTTGTATATACTAAGATCTTTGGCAGCAGCCAAAAAAAAAAAAGACATTTTAATTAGCAATTTGTAAAAATCCATGAACAAAAATTCTCATTCTGAAAAGGATTGCTAGATCATAGTATCACAGCAATGTTATCTATCAAGTTCATAACCAAGATCAAATCCACAAGACTTGAGGAAGAAGTGCAGCCTTTTTTTAAAGAGTTGCTAGTGTGCACATTCTGACTTTAACTTAAAAAGTTCAATAAAAACTGAAAACATATATGGGCAAGTATTTTAACTGTCAAAATACATCTGAAGTAATAACAGCAGCTAGAGCTTCTTTTTCTTGTCAATTTCAAGCCTCAGGTGTTGGCGAAAGCAGCTTCGGAGCTGACAGAGCACTTTGGAACAAAAGATCTAGGCCTGCCCTGAACACATTCTGGTGGTGCCTGTGTTCCGGGGAGCACCACAAAAAGTACCAGTGCTAAAGCAGACACAACTCATGACGGCTCTGTAAACACTGCATTTAAAGACGCTTTACCCTCACGTCCGTCATGTTTCACACGGCTGTTGGGTGCTACACGGCACTTCAAAATGCTCAGACCCATATAATCTTTTTGCCTCCTACTACTGGTAAATTATTACATGTGTACACAAACACACCTATCTCTAACCCTACTCTTTTGCTACATCGTTTTTTTTCCTCAGAGTAACAAAGGAACAAGAGAAACACAAGTCAAGGAGCGTCATAGGGCCATTAGTTCCCCAAAGAGAAAGTGTGCCTTTATTTGCATAACAATACCCAAACTTAGGCAGCGAAGGCAACGGAGCCCGTAAGTCACCACAGGAATTAAACTCCGGTAAAACGCTCATTTGCCGAGCTCCGAGGAGCCACGGCTCACACTAAGAAACGTGGCAGAAATGAAAGTAAACAGCACGGGTCCCACCTCGTTTTCTAAGAGAAACCCGGCGCAGCACTTCACACGGCAAGGTGTGAAACGCGCCTTTCACACATAAACATACCTGCAACTCTTTAGACAGGCAAGTAATCGCTGTTAAAAACACCCGCCGAAAACCAGGCGGAGAGAGCGGCGCTCACCTAACGCTCCGGTGTCCCGGGGGCACCGACGCTCGGCCGCGGCCTTCCCCCGACAACAACGCGCACTCCACGAGTAGAAAATAAATAAACAACGGAGTCGGGAGCGATAACTTTGGAGTTGACTTTGTTGTTGTTTGTTTTCCTTTCCTTCCAGGCTCTCAAGACCGCGGGCGGGTAGCGCGGGGCCAACATCGACGGCCGTTACCCCCTCGCCCCCTCACGGCGCGACCGTTAACGGCCGCTCCTTCCCCCCGCCCCCGCTCACGGCGGGCCCGTTAACGGCCGCTCCCGGCTCACGGCGGGCCCCTTAACGGCCGCTCGTCCCGCGACCGTTAACGGCCGCTCCTTCCCCCCCTCCCCCCCGCTCCCGGCCGTTAACGGGCGGCCGCGCCCGCGCGGCTCTTCCGGCGGCGCCGCGGACGCGCAGGCCTCAGCGGCGCCTCCCCGCGCGGGCGGCCGGGCCCGCGTCTCCCCGCCCGTCCTTC